ACCAAAATGTATATTTGTTAGTTGTTACTGTATTCTGTAATTGTCTATGAATTTCTTTGCATGTGTGCCTGGATACCACCAGTTGTTTTGTATTGTATTGTTTTGTATGAAAACTCTTGTATGAAATCCCTAAATACAAATGTTTTAGTTTATATTGTTGTGAGTTTCGTACATTGTTGTAGTTTTATTTATAATAAAACTAAGTGAGGTGAAGTTTTTTACCATTCATACATTAATCGTATTATTTAGTACCAAATTTATGAGTTGTTATAACCATACTTGACCATTGAATTGCTTGAACGACGTTCTTTAGGCGTCAGAATCGAAATGACTTTGTCACCCAAGCCCGCCGGCCTAACTGTAGCTAACAGTTGCGGTGCAGGATTGTCAGTCCCGTATAGATCTATACACAAACTCATGCTCTCCCTCCAGGAGACTATGGTTATAATCTCAGGACTTTTGTTAGTACTTAGGTAAGTACGCGAATATGCTCAATCATAAAATGCTATACTGACGATTAAGTGTAGAATAAAATGAATCATTTGAATTTAAATGACTATTTGTAAGATTCATAAACTATACCTATTATAGTTTATATGTTTATTCGCATTGTATCTATGTTTCGTGCATTGATAATGTAATTGTTCCATAAACTATACCTATTATAGTTTATATGTGTATATTCCATTTGTAAAATAAGTATTCTGAAAGTGTTCCTTTGCTATGCATGTTACAAAGGTTCATATAATTATGATTGTATAAAATACGTCTCAGTGAAAACAATGATTAATTTCTGTCAAATTAAATTAAGATAACTTAAAACAGTATATGGTAGTTTTGAAAACGTTTAGAAAATACTGAAATGTTCCATAAATGTATTTTGCTGTACTTGTATTCCCCCCTAAAAACATTAAAAATTGGAAAAATGTAGGGGTATGAACTCACAGTTGTTTATGTGTACGTGCTGGACAGCGAGACTGGAAAGATGACCCTCGAGTTGACGTACGCGGGACTAACGATATCCTAATAATATTTAAACACATAATTGTATTTAAATTAGGGAAACCATTAATTAAAGTGTTAGAAAACACTTGTTTTTGTGTTAGGATATTTTACCGAAAATTGCACAAGTGTTGAAGGGTTTGTGGTTCCAAGGAGTTTTCGGCCGAAAACAGTTCTCGGCCGTAAACGGTTTGCGGTCCTGAGCTGTTTTCGGTCACTTGAAGATTTGAAGGCTGTTCTTGGTGTTCTTGCTGTTCTTGGTGGGAAAATATGAAGATTTAGAGGATTCCCTTTGAAGATATGAACGTTTGTGGATTATCCTTGGGAGAGAATTGAGAGAGTTTTTGGGTGGAAAGGTAAAGAAATGATCAAGTCTTCGGGTGGAAACCTTTATAGCGGTTGGGTTTTCGGCCGCAAACAGGGTTTTCGGCCGCAAACAAGGTTTTTGGCCGCAAACAGTTTGCTGTCACGAGGTTTTGCGGTTTCGAGGGAAAAATCTTGGGTTTTTCGAGTGTTTTTGATTTTGAAAACTTATATAAACTTTATTTATATAATAAAAATTGTTTTCTAATCTTTACGAACTTAACGAAACAAATAAAGACTCGAATTTTATTTATTGGGTTTGACTTTAGTTGACTCAGAAAGTAACGAGTTGTTACAAATATAGAACACAATGATTATTAAATGACAAGACTATATCTAATATATCAATCCATTTCAATATATGTTGCTTGTACTCTTCTGGTATCCAAACACTGTTCAAGTATCCAAATACTGTTCCAGTATCCAAATTCTAAATTTCAGTCAAATTCATTCACTTTGAACAACAAGGTCCTATAGTACCATCTTGACTTTCAAGCTTTAGCTGATGAAGGAACTTAGTTAAGTAGATTCGACAAACTTGATTTTTATAAACTTTGTGAATACTAACATTTTCGGTTTTATTTATGTCCCATATATAGAGTAAAACTCTAGAGAATGTTTTGGATGCTTAAATTATGACTTATATACCAATGTCGTGTAATGGGATTACTCAAAGTTATAAATGAACTAATCATTTAAGATCATCATATGTGGTTCCCCGAATAACAATGTCTTCCAACTCTGTAGTGTAACTGCAATTAAAATCTACATAGAACTCCTATACATGCAACTTTTACTTCATTCTCAGTGAGGACATGCCCGATAGTGATCGGGGATCATTTCAATCTTTTCGTATTTATTCGTCATGCTCCATACATACAATATATATTGCCTATACACATTACATGTCACATATTTTGAATCCAGATGCAACAACATACGGAATCCAATCATAATAACTAGGTCAACCATTGTAATAGGATTCTAAGGCGTGCTTAAAATCACGTCATGTAGTATTGACAAGATAAACTCTCTCAAAGTCTTATATCTTAAGCTCTTTAAAATCCTTCATAATTAATGCAATTTTACTTAATCCTTTAATTTTTCCATGATCTATCTATATATCTTTATTTCCAAGAATTAGTATGTGTCACTCACATGCATGACTAGGAATGTTACTGCACTCCCAGTAGCTTTATAAAAAACACAAGAGTTATCTTGATTTATAAAGAAATCACATTATGTAATTTTCTTATAAGAAAGAAGATTCTACTTTGAGATGTTGAACTAAACCTGAAAAGATTTCAATCAATGTATGTTTTCTCCTTCGAAAACTTACTTACTCTTTATAGTCATACTATATCGAAGAAGATTAATCAAGCCCATACTTGATAATCATACATGAATACATCTCTATGTGTTCTATTAGTTTTTGATCAACTTTTTGAACAGGTTAAACAACTATTGAAAAACTTGCTAGTCTCAAACTATGATGCATTTAGTATATGGTTCTTTAGCTCTTAAAGTTCCAAATTTCACCCAATTATAAAAATAACATTTTACGTATATGTCTTCTGGAATGACAATAAGTGGGATTATAAAAAAATTATCCTAAACAATCATTTACGATATTCTACATAAATGTAATTAGTAGATGTTAGAATGAGTTAAACTTGTGTCTTGCATAAGCTCCATAACTCTATACCTTTTAGATAAGTACTAACCTTTTCGTCCTTAGTCTAACAAAAGTATTTTATCTACTTGTTTGATTGGAAATATATCCTATATATATATATATATATATATATATATATATATATATATATATATATATATATATATATACACACATTTGTTGTAGTGAGCATAATTCCAAAAATATTAAAAAAAGACATAGTTCTTTAAAACATCATATAGAAGATTGTAAGGTATGTTTTATCCAATTCAAAAACTTATAATATCGATATTCAACCAGTGGCTAGGTGATCCTATCTCACTAGAGAATGTGAAAGCCACCTCGAAAATCATAAGGCAAAATCCAAGCGACCAGGTGATCCTGTGACATAAAGTCCGTACAAATGATGAGTAAGTGTTCTTTGACAAAATGAGTTGTAAACTGAGTCTAAAACTCCTAAGATGTTCTAAGGAGACTTGGTTTAAAAACTCGTTTCATTATCAAAACGAAAAGGTTAATGATGGTCTCATTGAGTTGTATTTCAATCTTCACTATGAAACAGTTTGAGCAATTAAAAAGTTTAAACAATAACGAATCAAAATCGTCAGTGAAATTAATTATATATCAACAAATATATTCATAGGGTTGAAAGACTACATACATTTATAAAGTCTTTTCATTTAGATTGTTATTTTCGAGTTACAAAAAACTAAATAAAAAGGAGGGTCCTTTGTCAAAAATATAAAAGATAACAGAATTGTATATATATATATATATATATATATATATATATATATATATATATATATATATATATAGTTACATAAATAAAAGACGATAGTGTTGTATGATTATAATTAGTTGTGAGACTCATATATTATACAGGTTGATTAAAACAAAATATTCAATACGAATGATTAAACGGGAAGTTTCTTTGAATGTAAAAGTTGAAATAAATAAAACTTTTGAGAAAAAAAATAAAATAAAAATATGCAAAAAATAAATAAATTAAAATTTTGTGTTTAGTTGTCAAACTTGTGTACTAAACGTGTTAATTATAACAAAATGTTAAATACGAAGGTTTAAACTGTAAATTTATTTAAAATTGAAATTGAAGTTTGAAAATTAAAATTTGAAATTTATATAGTCATTATTGTATGTTTAATTTATGAAAACTAAATTAATGATATATTGAAAAATAAAAAATGAAGTAAATGAAAAGTGGAAAGTAAATATCTCAAAATTATGACAAAATGACGTATAATGTATGAAAGAATGACATGTGTCAAAATTATTTTCATTTATTAGGGAGGATTTAATACTTGATACCAGAAAATATTCTGACCTTATAGAACATTTAATATAATAAACGGATTAAGAAAGAAAATACTATTATAAAACAAGTTAATTATACAAAACATAAAACCAAAAATAACAACTTATTGCCAAAAATGACCAAAACTTATCACTTTCATAGCTAAAAAACAATTTAACAACTATATGTAATATTATAAACATTTGAATTTTTTTTGTTTGAAAAGTAACAAAATGCAAAACATCAGTAAAACTCCAATTAATTGGCTACAAATATAAATTCTAGAATGATTTTCATTATTATATATTACAAAAAATCAAAACATTCTTTATTCTTCCATGGATTTAAATTCAATAAACTAAAGATTTTAATTGCTATTTCTATCAACTGAAAAACAAAAAGAAAAAGACTAAAGATCACAAAACAAAAAAACCCAATCTGGTTGAACCAAATATTCAGAAAAAAAAAATTGTTTTCTTGGAACTTGATACCAAAAATTTTGATAAGTTATGGTTGCAGAAAAAAAAAAGTTAACTGTATAAAGCAATGGTAGCAAATCTTTTACCATAAATCCATCACATTCCTAATTTCCTACCAATCAAACAAAACCATTAATAAAATTATGAGATATATAGTTTTGTATCATCAACTGCTAATTGTTGGTTTGTAGTGGAACTCATCAATTGATGAATATATCTTGCCTTCAATTTCAAGTCTTGTTATTGATTCCCTGTCGTAAACCAAATGTAAGAAATAGCAACATGCTAATATAATAAACAAATAAACAAATAAATGAAAGTGTGACGGTATTTCTTGTGTTTTACTCTTAACAAATTATAATTTCACATTTTATAGTTATAGATAGAGGAGGAGGAGGAGGGCTTACATGAGTTTATCATGAGAAAGTTTCAGCTTCTGTGCAAGTTCATTTATATGTATGCCCTTTTCAATAACACTACAAAGAAAAAACATTTCAAAATGATCAAATTATATCCCAAACATAGTATACATTATGTTATACTAACCAAATAAAGTCCACTGATATTTCTTGCATTTAATTATAACATTGTCCTATAATACAATCAAACTACTAAAAGCTTTGTGTTTCAAGGCAATTAAACTTACTAATTTGGAGGAAACCGGAGATAAGCAAGAACCCCTTCATCAACTTCTTCCTGATTATCGAACGCATTTCCATCACTTTTGAGGTTATTATTCTTCTCTTCAATTCTACATGCAATATCCATTGCATCAGACACGTTTGTGGGTGAAAAAAGCCTCACTTCATCTTTGATCATCGGTTGTAAACCATTCATAAACTGACTCAAGAACACCTCTTCGGATATACCTTCTAAAGGTGCAGCTAAATTCACAAACTTCCTGCGATAATCAGCAACAGTGCCCTCCTGTTTCAGTTCGAGAAATTTCTCAAAGAGTGAACCATGACCGGTGATTCCAAAATGCTTCAACAATTTGAGTTTCATGTCTTCCCATTGAATCATCGGACTTTTCTTATTCTCCCATTGAAACCATCTAATTGCGTCACCTTTAAAAGCTACCACCGCTGCTTCGATACGTTCTTCATTTGTTAGATGATTGAGAGAAAAGTGATGTTCTGCTCTAAGGATCCAATCCTCCGGATCTTTTCCGTCGAAAGTAGGTAAATCTAGTTTTCTTTTTTTATTTGCAGTAAAATGATATTTACCTGACGATCATCACCCACGTTTCTGACCAACACTTTCAATCGCTTCATTATCTTCTGCATATCTTCTTTCATCGATCCAAATTCTGATTGAATATTGCCGATTTCCGTTTGCATTATTCCCATTCTCGATTCCAACTTGTGGACTCTTGAACCCAGTGTAGGCGACATCATTGGGATCTGAACTTACGATACTACTAGGGTTTAATTGCAGGAATCTATAGACTAAGCGAGGGTTGGACTGTTTTGAGTTTTTAGTAGAGTATTTTAGTGGTTTATTCAATGGGTCAAAGATGAAAGTCCAAGACAAAACTGTAAAATGGTCGTGTGGTATTTATTTTTTAGGTTTTGTCAAAACCTGATTTTTTTTTTTTTGGATTGAGTTTTTTTTTTTTTGGGTTCGAAAACTAAAAACACTAAAATATCTTTTTAATTTTTATTTTTTATTTTTTATACTTTATTTTAATTAATAAAATATAATATATCTTTTTTGGGTTTGGTCGTCGGTATCCTTGTTATTTTTTAATTAATAAAATATAAAAATAAGTATTAAAACTGTAAAATAAAAATAAAAATGCATCTTAGTCATTTTAATAAAACATTATAATTTTTAATATAATCGTACTTTTAATTATTCTTATTGTAACATATTTTTAAACTATTTATTTGAAAAATTGTTAATAATTATAAAAAATAGTTTCATGCATGGTTTTTTCTTAATTTGTGATTATAAATTAGGTTTAACACTATAATTTATAACTTTTGACTATTTATAAAATAGTCTCTCGATTTTTTTTAAGTTTAACTGAAAATTTTGATTTAAGTTAACAATTTAACATTATATTGAAATTTATAATTTTACTGTTTGACATAAAATCATAAATTATAAAAAAGTTGTGACTTTAAAATGACAATTGTTCACATAAGACAACATATTTAAACTAATAAGTTAACTATAATATGTTAAAAAGTTAAATTCATAATTTTATAAATAAAAGTGAAATATAATATTTTCATATTGTTGTTTAATTCACTACTATAATTTGAGGTATCAGCGACAGACAGATTAGTTACGAATATGTTGTCAGTCGAAATTGTCAGTCGAAAAACCCTTGTCGCTAATAGACAGCGACAGATTAGTTACGAATTTAGCGACGGATTAGCGATGACACAAATCACTAAGGAAACCTCAAAATACCATTGTTAATATGTCGCTAATGTCCGTCGCTAATCTGTCGCTGATTATAAGTAAATGAACAATTTTTCTGTTTTAACAATGGTCTAGTAGGTGTCGAATCTGTTGCTATTCCATACAAGAATTCACAAATGTAATTTAAATGTTGTAACCCAAAAACAAAACATTAACATTCAACTTCCAAAATAGATATTAATATCTGATTAGAAAAATAAAAATTCATATTCGATTTTAAAGAATCGAAACCAAATCACAAAAATCAAAAGTGTCGAAGTATAGTTAGATGGGTAATCTTGGCTATTTCTTGTTTTTTTGTCTACAATTCTTCACGTTCCTCCTTAAGCGATTCCTTCATCTCATCACGAGTACGATCAACAATAACCTACAAAGCAAAAATAACCAATTTGACACCTAATTAAACATCAAATCATATCATTCAACTAATAGCAAAATAGTTTCAAATTGAAAACAAAACTACATAAAATGAATAATAGCAACATAATTTAAACTTGGAAAAAATCTAGCAACAATTAATAGCAATCGTATATTCATCTTAATAAAAAAATTAGCAATAATTAACAACAAAATACTTTCAAGGGTATAATTGTCAGTTTCTTTTGTCACTATAGGTCTAGAAACAATCATTTTTTGTCACTAGAGGTCTGATGTAAAATTGATTTTAAGGGTATAGTTGACATTATTCGAATGTAGTCATATCGCCAAAGTAAAACAATCATTTTTTGCCTTTTAATAATTATAAGTGAATATTTTTAACTTTGACTCCACAAGATCTTTTCTGTTTTAACATTAATAAACAATACATATTCAATTAATTACTAGTTCAACATGTTCTTTATTTATGTTACTAGATCAAAGGTTGTAACTTTTCTAAAATATTAGAAATAATTTGAACTAACTTTCAAAACAAAATTACAAATGATTACTAATGAATACTTGTGTGACGTCCACCACCAGCAACAACATGTATAGATTGATGGGTTTTAGGTAAAACAAATAAACTAGAAAACAATTCCTAAGTTCACATGCAACCTACTTTGGATCTATGTTTTAACTATTGAACATATAACTTTGAATTGCAAAACAAGAACCCTAGAGGAGAGAGGCTAATTTCGAAATTAACAAACTAGGGTTTAGGAGTTACATACCTTTCAATTGTTATAGCAAACAATTGATAATCCTCTTGATCTTGATCTTGATCTTCTTGGAAGCTTAGCACCACAAATGTAATGCCTCTAATGGAATCACACCCAAGAACTAGCAAGAAGGAAACTTGGAGGAGAGAGGATGGAGAGAGTATGCAATTTCGGCCTTAGGGTTTCTTCCCAAGAAATCAGTGACCTCAAATGTGAGCCAGGAGGCTCCTTAAATAGCTGAGGGATCTAGGGTTTAGGGAAAACCCTAGTTATCCTTTGCTTAGGGCCTAAGCAAGATCCAAAGGCCTTATTTGGACCCCTTGGACGAATCTCTAGGGTTTCCCCTATAGATTTCGTCCACCTCCTTCCAAGGAGGTTCTGGATCCTTCCATTCAACTATTAGTTAATTGCAAACTAGTCCCTGCACTTTATAATTAATTCTTTTAACCCCAAAATTAATTCTGATTAATTTCTGGCTAACTATTAATTAAACATAATGATTTCTAATTAATATATTAATCCATTAACATATTAATAAATCATTTACATATTAATTTATTAATCTTATAAATTAATATCTCTCCTTTCATAATTTCCTTGTCCAGTTGCTAGGTTGAGGGCAACCCAAAAGGACTGTGCTGCTATCAATTCAAGTACATACCAATTATAGTTATGGGCTTAGACACCTAATCCAACAGTCTCCCACTTGGATAAGTCTGTAACTATAATTGCTAGTATGCCTTCTAAATTTGACCAGCAAATTGTAGCTTCCAAAAGCTGCTGCCGAACTCTGACCCAGTCAGTTACGTGTCCTAAGATAAGTGATCATATAATCCTTCGTTCTGCTAGATATCCCTAGACATAAGACATGGAATGTAATCAATCTCTTTGTCCAGAATCTATGTTTCCCGATTTTTGATTTGTGATGATGTAGGACTTCTAATCGAACACATCAATCTAGTCCTGGCTGGGCCCAGCACATAAGTCAACACCAAATCATCGAGGGGCCCACAGATATCGCTTTTCCTATTAGGGCAAAAGGAACGAATAAACGTTGACTCATATGCTTGTATCTTTTACTCATCAAATTATACATGACAATACGTTTTATAACACCAAGTTACTGATGCGTTTTCGTATCACCAATGCATGACCGACTTGTAAATTACAACTCATATATCTTCGTTTCAAGATTATAAGATATTATCGTCTCAGTATTACTCGTGATGAATTCCATGAAGTGATACTCTGAGCGAGGGTTTATCCAATACTCAAATCTCAATTTCTGAGTACTCATGAACGTTGCAGCAATTCTATTGCCATGTCTATCCTTAGACAATCTACAATCCAGTTCATGACAGTCTTAATTCACTACTTACTTCCAAAAGTATGAGCGACTGTGGAGTTTGAATAATCTTATTATTCGGGAAGTAAAACATGCAAAAATGAAACACAATAATAAACAATTGACAAAAGGCAGAAACCAAACTTATAAATAATACTTTATTATTTAATCACCAAAAGTCAATTACATTTACTTTGTTACAAGTTTCAGAAAAAACTAATCTAACTACTAAAACTAATATCATCTTTCAGTCCTATGCTCCGAGCATGCTGAATATGCTTAGCCCTACTCAGACCCTTTGTGAGGGGATCTGCTGGGTTATCTTCAGATGACACCCTCTTTACTATAAGATGGCCTTCTTCAACTCTATGTCTGATGAAATGGTACTTTCTGTCGATATGTCTGGTCTTACCATGATCTCTCGGTTCCTTTGTCAAGGCAACCGCTCCTTCATTATCGCAGAACAGTTCCATAGGCTCCTGGATGGTTGGAACAACTCCGAGATCCCCGATGAAGTTCCTCAACCAAGCTGCTTCTTTCGACGCTTCACTTGCTGCTATGTACTCTGATTCACAAGTAGAATCAGCCACCGTATTTTGCTTGGAACTCTTCCAAGTAACTGCTCCTCCATTCAGTAAAAACACCCAGCCCGACTGAGAACGGAAGTTATCTCTATCCGTCTGAAAGCTGGCATCACTGTAACCATCTACTCTCAAAGTATCACTGCCACCAAGCACAAGGACCCAGTCCTTTGTCCTTCGCAAATACTTGAGTATATTCTTAACTGCTATCCAATGAGCTCTACCTGGGTTTCCCTGATAGCGACTGACCATGCTCAAAGCAAATGCCACATCAGGGCGAGTACATGTCATAGCGTACATGATCGATCCGACAGCGGAAGCATAAGGTACACGACTCATGTCATTATTTCAACATCTGTACTCGGGCATTGAGTCTTACTCAATTTGGTATTGCTCTGGATAGGTAGCTCTCCCTTCTTGGAATTTTCCATACTAAACCTCTTTAGTACCTTATCCAAGTATGTGCTCTGACTAAGTCCAATTAGTCTCTTCTTTCTATCTCTCAATATTCTAATCCCAAAATATAGGCAGCTTCTCCAAGGTCTTTCATGGCAAAACACTTTCCAAGCCAAGACTTAACTTCTTTCAAGGTTGGAACGTCGTTACCAATGAGTAATATGTCATCGACATACAACACCAGAAAAGTTACTATACTCCCACTAGCCTTGATATACACACAAAACTCATCTTCACTTCTAGAGAAACCAAACTCTTTGACTTTCTCATGGAAGCAAAGATTCCAACTGCGAGATGCTTGTTTCAATCCATAAATGGATTTCTCAAGCTTGCACACTCTATTGGGGAACTTTGCATCAACAAAACCCTCTGGCTGACTCATGTAAACATCTTCAGCCAACTTCCCATTAAGGAAAGCAGTTTTGACATCCATCTGCCAGATT